TTATATATATATATTTATATATATATTTATATATATATATATATCTAATATATATTTATCTATCTATCTATATATATATATAGATATATAGATTGCCTGGTATAGACATATAGATATTTACATACCCCAACTGCAGGTCAAGGGTTTAGGGTTTAGGGTTTAGGGTTTAGGGTTTAGGGTTTAGGGTGGTTTTAGTATTTAGTAGGAAGTTGCTGAATTATTTTAAGTTCCTTTTCTATGTCTCTTCTAATAGCAAACAAAACCAGAAAAAGACAGCTGCGTGTACACCTGAAGGCTGTATTCTAGTGTATCTTCTTCCTTGTTTATTCTTTTATTTATTTGTTTGTTTGTAATAAACAAACAAACCCGTTTTAACAATAACGATACAGCGAGAATCCTGCAGGGCCCCATCAGCAGCAGCAGCAGCAGCAACAGCAGCAGCAGCAGCAGCAGCTGCTGCTGCTGGGGGGCCCCTCTTCAGTAGGCAGTGTGGCTGCTGGTGTGTTTATAATTAAATAAATTTATTAATTGTAAATAAAGACATTTGCTTTAATATTTTGAATTAAGAGATGCAGATACACCGCAGAGAGGGTTCATATCCTGCTGCTGTTGCTGCTGCTGCTGCTGCTGCTGTTGTGCCTTGCTAGCAGTAGCCTCAGGATGTCTTTCTCGTCTAGGGTTTAGGGTTTAGGGTTTAGGGTTTGAGTCTCATCTGCATCACCCATAGCCTAGCGGAGGCCATGGAGTACTAGCACAGCAGCAGCAGCAGCAGCTGCAGCAACAAACGCAGCAGCAACAGCAGCAGCAGCAACGACCGCAAAAGCAGCGCATCCAGAGGTAAGAGGAACTGCAGTTACAGCAGCAGCAGCAGCAGCAAAGCTGGTAGTTGCAGCACCTACCGCCCCAGCCGCAGCTGCAGCAGCAGCTACCTGCAGCAGCAGAAGCAACTACAGCAGCTGCCTGAAGCAGCAGCAGCAGCAGCTACCTGGAACAGCAGCAGCAGCAGCTGCTGCTGCTGCAGAACTAAGAAGCAGAGAGTTGTTATGTCATTCTTGCTGGGTGGTGTGCTGCTGCCGGCGAGGCCTACTCTAGCCTCAGCAGCAGCAGCAGCAGCAGCAGCAGCAACAGCTTCAACAGCAGCAGCAGGAAGGCTGTCTAGGCGGCGGGGCACCGAGCTTGGAACCGGCGACTGGGGCCTTGCATGCAGCTGCAGCAGCTGCAGCAGCAGCTGCTGCTGCGGCATATGCAGCAGAAGCAGCTGCAGCGTATACACCAGCAGCAGCAGCAGCAGCAGCAGCAGCAGCAGCAGCAGCAGCAATCACAGAAGCAGGGGAATGACCTGCAAATGCAGGAGTTACACCAGCATTTGCACCAGCAGCAGCAGCCACATCAGCAGCCACATCAGCAGCAGCAGCAGCAGCAGCAGCAACAGCAGTAGCAGCAGCAGCAGCAGCAGCAACAGCAGCGGCCTTCGATTTTTTTGTTCAGCTGGGCGTTTGCTGCCTCTGCATAGTGCGCGTAATGTATATAATGCTGCCAGTACCAGAAGATACAGCAGCAGCGGCAGCAGCAACAGCAGCAGCAGGGGCAGCAGCAACAGCAGCAGCAGCGACAGCCACAGCAGCAGCAACAACAACAGCAGCAACAGCAGCAGCAGCAGCAGCAGCATGGAAGGGTATGAGCGTTCACATTACGCTACTTTAGGGGTGAAGACAAATGCAACGCAAAAAGAAATACGCCAGGTAGAACCACATAAAGCAGCAGCAGCAGCAGCAGCAGCAGCAGCAGCAGCAAATGCAGCAAATGCAGCAGCAGCAGCAGCAGAAACAGAAGCAGCAACGGGAGAAGCAGCAACAGAAGCAGTAATAGAAGCAGCAATAGGAACAGCACCAACAGACGCAGCCACAGAAGAAGCAACAGAAGCAGCAACAGAAGCAGCAACAGAAGAAGCAGCAGCAGCCTAGCTGCTGCTGCTGCTGCTGCTGCTGCTGCTGCTGACTTAGAGAGACGGAGACAGACAACCACAGACAAACGACAAATATAAAAAATAAAAGCATAAAGACAGGAAGAGACAGTAGATCCACCCGCTTTGCTTCTTCATTCTCTTTTGTTTGTTTGTTTCTACCGTTACTGCTGCTGCTGCTGTTGCTGCTGCTGCTGCTGTTGCTGCAGGCCTACGTTGCCCTCGCCTTGAAATATCACCCCGACAGAAACAGAGACAACACACACGTCCGTGCACGCCTGCATTTATGCTGCTGCTGCTGCTGATGCTGCTGCTGCTGTTACTGCTGCCGCTGATGGTAGTGGGGCTGCTGCTGTTGCTACTGCTGCTGACGCTGCTGCTGGTGCTGTTGCTGTAGCTGCTGATAGTACCTTTGCTCCTGATCCTTCTGCGGCTGCTGTTGCTGCTGCTGCTGCTGCTGTTGCTGCTGCTGCTGCTGCAGTTGCAGCAGCAAAAGCAGCAGCAGCAGCAGCAGCATTGGAAGGAGACAGCTTTTGT